GGTGGTATGACAGCTACGCACCGAAAGAGTGCAACAGCTTAACGATTAATTTTATTTATTTATTTATTGAGACTGCCAGAATCACGTTTGCTAATTTACGTCAATTATGGCGTCAGAGAAACAGATCACTGGGTCTCAAGTGTCGCGTGTACCAGGCCAGAGTAAGGGCTGTGTTGATGTGTGGTTGCGAGACAGATGATGTGAGATTTTCGACCACCCATGCTTCAGAAGCGTAGCTGGTATCGGATGATGTCAACAAATTTGCAAGGAGGTAATCAGAAAACGAGTATTTGGTTGTGCAGTGGATACTCCAATAACGAAAACCATCCATCACCACCAACTGCGATGGCTCGGCCAAGTGCTACGCATGCCGAAACACCGTCTACTGAGACCAGTGTTGTTTTCCGTGCCTCCTTCAGAATGGCCGAAACCGTGGGACAGACAATGTATGACTGCAGAAGGATGTCAAGGAGCTTACGAAGAGTTTATGTGTTGTTGGTGACGTACGCCTTCCAGGATGGGGTCTCCGTGACAATTCCTAGGCTTGGCTGGAAACATTGCAAGAAATTGCGACTAATCGATATGAGTGGTGTTCGCGTTGTCAGTTTATCTCTAGATTTTCTGATTGAGCGCTTAGGGGTGTAGGTACCTTAGAAGGCTTGCATTAGGTCAGCATTAGGTTCACTCACTCGTTTCCTTTTTTAATACTTAGGCTTCATGGCAGTATAGCATCATTGTCAACACTGATGTTCCTTCTTTAATGACTGGTGATGAATTTAATATATTTCTTGAATCAGAAGGCCAAACCCGGGCTTGCTGCATTTACTCATGCACACTTGGTTTCACGTGACGGGCTTTCACAGCTTCTTGTCTGTTTGTTCACCGAGCTTTCATCTGGTCTACTAGTGACAGTACAAGGATACCAAATCTTGTGCTAACCTATCAAAATTGTACTGTGCGAGTGCGCTGTGCGTGCACCCAACCTGAACGCGTGCATGGGTTACTGGTGTGATATTGTAATGGTTTTCTCCTGACCATCTTTTCTGCTGTAAAATGTCCAACCCGACGATGCGCAGAAATGTTGATCCTGATGTGATTACAGAAGCCTTTTCGAACCTGATGGATGATAAAGGTAACCTTCATTTGGACTTCCAACAAAATACATCGTGTAAGTCAGAAATAAGATTTCTCCCTCGGATTTAACGATTTTTCTACTTCCCCGTTGGATTGTGGTTCGTGTACAATGCTCGTAACCATTACAAGGTCATTCATTTTTCGCAATTACTTTGTTGAATCTGGAGGCGATTTTTTTCAAACGGCATATAAAAGCGCAGGAAAGTTGGACGTAATTCTTTCTGTAAATGCTTTACAAATATATTGCAACAGAAGAGTTGTAGCTATGCTGTGGCGCAATCTTCATCCACTTATCTTCGATTTTTGACTGCGATGTATGACATCTATCGCCCTGAAGTTTGATGGAAAACATCGGGTTTGTATTCAGTGAACCAGGGTCACCAATCGAAATTTCATGTGTCCATACCGTTTTTCGAACAGCCTACCTGTCATCGCCTAATATTTGTGCTCATAGGACACGTTTTGCAATGCATACATTTTGCACATCACTGACGTAGATATATTTGTGTTAAAAGCGCGGAACGTGTGCGCTTGGCCGTACATCAACGTGGACAATTATTTTAGATTTTCTTCAGTTGTTTTTTTGCCTTTAGTTATTAGGAATTATTTCTTAAGATGCTCTAACGCGACTAGTCACAGTTTCTTCGACTTATGCTTATTGGCTGTAAAAGCTAACGTCCTACTGTCTAAAGTAGCTGAGTTATTGGGGTTGGTAAACCGTACCTTGTGTTGATGAAATTATATGGGAACACAGGGTCCAAAAACTTATCGGAATCTCGCGACTCTTGGCTATTGTGCCACCCACCGTCCTCTATGCAGTCAAAACAGTGGCTGTTAACCTGGACTACGATATCAGTGAACTGGTAAATCGACACGAAACGTTCCCCATATGTGAATGTAATTATTTTTTTGTATGGTGGCAGCATATGGGTAGTCGTGGAAACACCGATCACCAAGTGCTGTCCTCAATATTCCGCATCGGATGCTTCCGCAAATGAAGGGCTGCCGAGCGTATTATAGATCCACATCGAATGGGATTTCATCCTTTATCCATTAACCGGCAATCGTGTGCTACTTGAGATATAAAGGATCTTTATGTCATCCTTCCTAGGCTTAGCCCGAAAATTCGTGTTTAGCAGGTTTCCGAAAAAAAACGAGGCAGTGAAGCATCGGTGTTAAACACGATGTCATGCCTGTCGATGATGATGATGATGATGATGATGATGATGA